ACTTCATGTGTGATATTTTAAAATAGACCATCTAATAGAATTTATGACATTACATTATTCAATCATTAATAACATTCATTAGATCCACTAATAACATTTATTGGGCTTACTAGAAATTTTTATTGGCTAATAAAAATTAGATGATCCATTGGATTTATAGATATTATAATAAAATACATCTTATATATTAAAAGAGAAGTCATGACTTCACTTCATGTGTGATAGTTTAAAATAGACTATCTAATAGAATTTATGACATTACATTATTCAATCATTAATAACGTTCATTAGATTCACTAATAACATTTATTGGGCTTACTAAAATTTTTTATTGGGCTAATAAAAATTAGATGATCCATTGGATTTATAGATATTATAATAAAATACATCTTATATATTAAAAGAGAAGTCAAGACTTCACTTCATGTGTGATATTTTAAAATAGACCATCTAATAGAATTTATGACATTACATTATTCAATCATTAATAACATTCATTAGATTCACTAATAACATTTATTGGGCTTACTAGAAATTTTTATTGGGCTAATAAAAATTAGATGATCCATTGGATTTATAGATATTATAATAAAATACATGTTTAAATTAAAATTATATAATTTAATATTGTAATAGTATAAGTTAATTATTTATATATTTTTGATGATAAATTTAAAAATTATATAGTTTATTTTTTTTTAAAAAAAATTATCATTTTCTAACAATAATTAATCTATACTATATAATAATTAATCATCATTTTCGATATACACACACCTTATATAATATATACCAATTTAGAAGTAAAAAATGTTTATATAAAAATAAATGAAAACAAATACTCGCGCAGTTGCGCGGGTTGAGATCTAGTTTATATTATTAAAATTGAACTACAAATGAGATTATTTTAAAACATGGATAACAATATTAAAAATGATAATGTTTGATAATATGGATAACAATATTAAAAAGGCTTTAATCAAAATGGTATTTTATTTTGGCCCAAACCACGTTTATAACGATCCAGCCCGAATCATAATTATAATTTCATTTTTATTGAGATATTGATTATTATGTTATTTAGAAAATGATTTAAGAAAATATATTTTATATTGTTCAAAAAACATTTCTTCTTTATTTATGTAAATACATAAATTTCACTTGCGTAATATAGATTTTGTCTATATAAAATCGTTAAAATTTATCGAAATTATTAAAATTGAAATACAAATGAGATTATTTGGAAACATGGATAACAATATTAAAATGATTATGTTTGATAATATGGATAAAAATATTAAAAAGGCTTTAACCAAAATCGTATTTTATTTTGGCCCAAACTACATTTATAACGATCCAGCCCGAATTATAATTATAATTTTATTTTTATTGAGATATTGATTATTATGTTATTTAGAAAATGATTTAAGAAATATTTTATATTGTTCAAAAAACATTTCTTCTTTATTTATGTAAAAAAATAAAATTCACTTGCATAATATAGATTTTGTCTATATAAAATCGTTAAAATTTATTGTATATTTTATTTACTAAACAATAAACATATCAATATGATAAATAGATTATGAGAAATATTTATAAATTTATAGTTGCTTTTCATTTTAAGTGTTCTATATGTTATATGGGTCACGATATAATAAATTGCATATTATTATATTTACAAAACATGTTGTATGATGTAAATATGATCATTTGATTACATGTATATAATTGACAGATATACATATATTTCTCATAATTTATTTATTCGTATTTAAAATTTTATTTTTTAGTAAATAATAATATGCTATAAAATTTAACGATTTTATATAGAAAAAATCTATATTACGCAAGTGAATTTTATGTTCTTACAGTAAATAACTTTTTAACAATATGAAATATATTTTCGCAAATAATTTTTCAAAACAACATAATAATCACCATCTCAAAATAAAATAAAATTATAATTCTGATTTGGGTTGAGTCGTTATAAATGTGATTTGAGTCAAAACAAGATACCATTTTTGGTTAATTTTTTAATAATACAATCATTATTTCCAAATGTATATGTTTCCAAAAATATCTATTTCTACTTAAGTTTTAATAATATAAATTATCTAATTATATAAAGAATACTTTTCTTCCCTACAGTTCTACCACGTCACAAATTCACTTCCTCCCCAGCCGACAAGTGTCCAACAAGTAAAAACTCTACGTTTTTTTACATTTAACATGATATAGGTTTTATGTATTTGTTGCCCAAAATTATTTAGTTCTATGGTCTGTTGACCGTGTAAAGTCAGTCTTTTGATCTTTTTTTCATCAACCGAAACACACTGATTTCAAATTTATCCATTACACACGATTTCATTTTCAATTCGAGTTCTTTTAGTGTAAGGCGGTGTATCTTCAAATATAAAAAAGTAACTTTGCTTCTCTCCAATCTATATTCTCAATCTTTCAGATAAACCTTGAATAGTTTATCTGTTTGTTACAAAAAGATAGAATTAGAAGAACAAAATAGCAATGGGGAAGAAGAGAGGAGAAATAGAGATAAGAAGAAATAGATATTTTTTATATGATAATTTTTTTTTGTTTTTTTCTAATATAATGTTATCAAGCAAAACAAGATTGGAGAACGGCAACAGAGACGTCTGACCGGCAAGAGTCCGGTGAAACTCTCGATCTTTGTTTTACGAGGAGGATAAGCCACGTAGAAACACGTGAAGATCATGCTATCACTCTTATTTCATTTTACAGGATTCATTGGGCTGAATGCAATTGTAAACTCTTGAACTATTTATACTTTAGATTGGTTTTTAAGCCTTAATAAAAAAGTCGACAAAGAAAAATGTTATGTTAATTGTTATCAATTACCTTTTTCAGCAATGTAAATAATACTAATGTAACCAAATGAAAACGTACTGCTATTAAGCTTAATACATTATTTAATATATATTATTCTTTCAGCACAAAATATTTACTCCAAACCATTTTCTTCTTTTCTACCATTTTCATTTTGCTTCCTCCTGTCAAGTGTTGCCCTTTTCATCTGTCCTATAATGCTAATGGTAATTTGAGCGTATCAATTTCTTAGTAGACTTATTCTGCAGAGAGAAGATGATGAAGCCTAATTTATGTTGTCACAAGTTCTATCTTGCTGGGGTATGAAATGTAACCTCCTTCTGATCATCTCTCCCTCAATTCATTCAACAGAGTTATTAACAGCGATTATGGTATGCTATCAATTCATCCACTTTCTCTTCATCAATCAAGTTTTCTGGTGCCTCCTATTAACCGAAGTTATTGTATATATATAATAATCAAGGTTCTCAAGAAAAATTATATAGCTTTTTTGAACGAGAAAATCATCTCAAGGAAAACAGAGGGGTGGGAGAGTTAACAAAACTCCAAGAAGAATCTATCTTATTAAAGTAGAAGTACTTTAACCTTTTGTTTGGAAACATGGATAGTAGTATTTAAAATAAGTAAGTTTGGAAACATAGATATCAATATTTAATAAGATCTGATATTTATTGTTACAAAGATTTGCTATTTATTTAATCTATCTATCTATCTTATTAAAGTAGAAGTACTTTAACCTTTTGTTTGGAAACATGGATAGTACGTAGTATTTAAAATAAGTAAGTTTGGAAACATAGATATCAATATTTAATAAGATCTGATATTTATTGTTACAAAGATTTGCTATTTATTTAATCTATCTATCTTATTAAAGTAGAAGTACTTTAACCTTTTGTTTGGAAACATGGATAGCAGTATTTAAAATAAGTAAGTTTGGAAACATAGATATCAATATTTAATAAGATCTGATATTTATTGTTACAAAGATTTGCTATTTATTTAAAATCGTAAATATAATTAATTTTAGTCACTAACAATATTTAAGAATATTCGTT